CGACAATGGTGAATGATGGCTGTGAGCCCGGGGTTGTAGTGAATGGCGTCGCTGATCATCCCCGATGAGACGGTGGAAGACTGCCATCTCCCATATGAGGCAAAGACTCCCCCACACTTCTTCAGGGGCCCCAGCGATTGCCTGCAGAGATCATTCATTGGAAACCTTGCAGAGCATTCACGAGCTTCAGTTGACGGCCAGGGTCAAGTTTCGTACGTTGCCCCCCCTGCTGGGACGCCGCTGTCGGATTGATTAAAGAGACATATGGCAGTGATTGCGAGTGCTGTATCTGTATCGTGGTGGCCCTCATTCTTGCACAGGCCGAGGAGAGTCAAGCTCGCGTTGTCTTGAGTCGTTCGGGTTGTGGCTCCCTGGATACTTCCGTTCCGCGTCTTGCCCGTCCGTCCCATGTGGCTTCGTTGTCCGTTCCACGGGTCAAGATTGCAACCTATGCGTCGTCGTCTTTCTGAGAAACCCAACTCATAATTCAGGGGTGTATGTGTCTGTCCGCCGACGACCCCTGCCTTAGCTCCGGGTGTCGTTGAGCGCGGCGGGAGCAACTAAGAAAGTTGAGTGCCAGGCCGAGGACCGACCACTGAGGGCGACGTTGGCAGGTCGGTCTTTGCAGTAAAATGGGTGTTCGCGGGCTGTCCGACCTGCTCTTTTGCATTCCCACCGTCTCGTGTGGCTTGCAGGGATTAGGTGCGGTGGACGGCTAAGATCCATGCAGAATCTGGACGGCTTCCCACCCTAATCACCTGCAAGTCAGGCAGTCCCCAGCCAAGGAGGGGAGGTGTGAGCAGGCCAGAGTGGATGACTTTAGAGTAGAGGGTGCGGTATGTAAGGTTCAGGTGGCCATCGCGGCCGGCACGTCAAAGTGCTTGTAGGCCACTTTTCCAGTCGTTCCCCCCCATATCATAGTCGCTATCCCCTCCAGCAGCCGGCACATGCTCCTGGATGAAAGGGCCTGCTTGCTTGCTTCTTGGATCATTCCTCCCTCTTTCACTCCAAGGTTTATGCTGATGTTCGACACGTGGAGGAGAGGATTGTACGGATAACGAACGGAGTGCGAGAGACTGTCTGGACCGGACCGAGCTGGAAATTGAGCCAGTGGAGACGCAAACGGGAGTTTGGCTGATTCTACCCCCCCTTTGGTGCTTCGTATGACGGCCGTCGCCTCATTTCATTTCGTCGCTGTCGGAGGAAGCCTCTGTCGGGAGAATTTGCTCTCAGCTGTGCAACCGATATTATTTTCCTGTCAACGACGTCGTACGGGGGCCGAATCGCAATCTGCAGCGCCGACACCTCTGAACTTTCACAAACGAGTAACGCAACGGATGGAGTTTTCTGGCTGGCTGGACCTAGAGAACCGCATGCATCGATAGCCGCGGTTGTCAACCTGCTTTGACAAGGTAGTTCCCTTTTGCAAAGACGGGCTCTCCCATATGAATTCCCTGGGCCACCCACGCATGAGCAGAACTTTTTCTCCATGCGCCGCGCGCTTCCTCTCATGCTTCCAAAGCTGAGCTGAGCTGACCAACTGGACAGAGCTCCCCTCGCCCCATCTAGCTCGTCAAGATGGGCCGATCAAAATTCACATTTCCTGTTCCGGGGAGGAAACAGAAGCCGCCCTTCGGACCGATCGTATCAGGGCCGATGTCGAAAGCCCAGAAAATCCTGGGAACCGCCGAGATCAACATCGACGCACCGCGGCAATGGGATAACGCATCGAATTCCGGAATCAGCGTTGCCGTATCTGAGAGCACCGCAACGTATCATCCAACCGAGAGAGGTCGCCATAATGAAGAGGAGGCTTTCAGCGGGAATCATCGCAGAAATATGCAATGGGAACAGGAGTCTGAGATTGTACCGGCGTATCTGACGAATCGGTTTTCGCAATTGAACACAGATGCTGGCCCAAGAGAGTTCACCGAGACATCGAGCCTCACCCGCCGAGGATCCAGCTCGACGATTACTTCATGGTACGACAAGTCGAAAATGCCTTTGTCAATATCTCAGCAAACTTCCTCGTCAGCGATGGCCAAAGGACTGCCCCAAAAAGCGAACGAGCTGCTGGATATTGAAGGACAAAACTCGGTGGCGCTATCAAACTCGAAGCCGAAGAAGAAGCCAAGCAGACTGGATCTGGGGCCATTGCTGTCCCGACACAAACACCACAGCCTGAGCCTCAAGAGTCGTGACAGCAACCGAGGGAGTCCAGTGCTCGGGCCAGACCATGTTACCAAGTCCCCGTCCCTTGCCTCCCTCACCTCCCCAAAATCAACACCACCGCCCATTCAGCAGCGGACGGAGAAGAAGCTGGTAAGACGGAGCACATACGAGCGTATGGTTGAGAACTTGTCATCAGGTCGCCCAAGAACGGGGTCAAGTAGCCGACGAGGCGCCAACGATATTAGCACACTGCCCAATCTGTACGAGCATTATGAGCAGATGTCGTTTGACCAGGTGCTGGGCCACGATGGGCCTCTCGCAAAATCGGATCAGACCATGACCAGAAATGGTCCCACACAACTGAGATCACCACCCACAACAGACCAGAGGCAGAGTGTCATGAGACCCGGAGTTCGCCCGCACCAGGCTCCGCCACCACAGGTTGCTCACGTCGTTGCGCCGAGTGTCCCAAACCCGCCCATCCCACAGATGACAATGGCAGATCGCGATTGCGCATCCAGCGTTTCGAGCCGCTATACCAAGACCTCCAAAGCGTCAAAACGAACCAGCCGGAGTATTGGTGGATCGGATTTGATGGAGAAGAGCGTGCTCTCGTTGTCGTCCGACTCTGAAGATGACTTCTTCCCTGACTCCATCTCAAAATCCACTGGCGAATCTCAGAGCAGTGATGCTGGTAGTCTGGCTCCCTCATCGCTGAAGTCGTTCCGATCTCGCGACGCGCCCTCTCTTTCTCACAGCTCCAGAAAGTCTGTCAAGCACGCAAGTTTTGCTCCGACCAACACGTATCTCACTATACCCGCCAAATCGCCTCCATCCAAGGCCCCAAGCCCCAGTGCGCGAATGAGCTCTCTTCCGCCCACACGATACCAGCCGCCAGCGCCTTCCAATCGCTCATCGTTGTACTCTACGAAGTCAACATCGACGACAAACTCCGGCAGCGATCGACAAGGCCCTCGGTCAGTTTACAGCTCTCAAGAGTCACGAGGCACCCCTGCCACGCCTGCCAAGCAGCCTCTTCCAAAGCCCGAAAGAGCGGTCGAAACACCGCAGCGTATGCTGTCAACAAAGTCATCTACACATTCTGTCGACCAGCCGACTCCTCCACTGAGTCCCACGTCCGTAGAGACTTTCAGCACGTCGACTGAATCTATCGATGCTCAAGGTGGATCGGATTCGAGATTTATGGCCGTAACTCGGCAAGAAGAGATGCTCCTTGCTGCTCTTCGCATGAAGCGAGCACGTATGCGCGAATCAGTCCTCGCAGAATACGAGGACGAGGCGCAATATGGTACGCAGTACCACCACCAACGTAACTCATCGCAGAACACCATCAAGGAAATGCAATGGCCCGAGCCTCCCCAGACTCTGCGTCATCAGACTTCCACCACGTCCAGCAGCACGATCAAGGCGGGCTCGCATACACCGTCCGAAGGGCGTCCGGGGTCATTGGCCGGCGGACGAAACCACAGTCGAAGTAACTCTCGACACCTCGATTTGCCGCTTTCCTCGTCACGAAACGGATCCGTGCCGTCGTCACGGGCAAGCAGCTTAAGGAGGTCCAGAGTGACCCAGGAGATGCCGCAGTCAGAGGCGAAGCATGAGCGAATTCTGCTGTACCTGGACCGACCTGTCGGCAACGTCAACTCGATGGATTTTGCCGAACCGAGCCCAGACCTGAGTGACTTCATGGATTTTGACAACGGTAGTGAAGAGGAGGAGGAACCGTCAATGTTTCGGCCACGCCTTCAGGGGTTTGGCGTGCCAAACAAGGGGCGAGGACGTATGCTGAGGACGAGTGAGCGGGGACGTCACGACTCTTCCCCTTTGAGACCTCGCAACCTCGCAGAAGTTCCGGGGCAGATCCACGTGGTTGAGTCTGAGAGCGATGTCGAGCCGATGGCGGGGATCCCGAGACCAGACTCTCCTGTCTCACCCGAAGGGACTCTTCCCCTGCCCAACCATGGGCTGTCGAAGAAGAAGGCCGTTCGGCTGAGTGCCGTCGGCAACGCTGGTGGTGTCGAAGCCGGCTGGTGGGGAGACGATGGTTGATGGCTGAAACGAGGGAACAGAAGCTTGCCGCACATGGTTCGGATAATCTCTTCTTGATACCCTGCACATGACTAATTTTCTTTGTTAATGATCGATCTTGTACAAATCTTGGACTGGATACAGGAGGCGTGGTGTTTCTGGTTTGGAGCGGGAAAGGGTAATCCTCATTCGGAATGAAGCGGGAGGATGTTTGCATGAGCCATCGTCTGTTTTTTTTTGCGTGCTTTATTCTTTCCCCTTACTTGCTCCGCAAACGGAGCCGAAGGCATAACGCTTGAGTCGTTTCGTTGACCTGTAATATTATTACAAGACATGCTTGATGGCGGCATAATGTTTTTGGATAGAACAAATGACGGACGTTGAAGTCGAAGGGAAAGGAGGTTAAGGAAAGTTCAGAGAGACTTTTGGGAAGGTGCCTTAGAAGACACCCACCCTCCTTCCATTATACCTACAATCCATTACATTCCTTCCGGCAATTGTCCAATCGCCACCTGACAACAGTCAAGCCTTCTCTGCTGTGCTCAGTTTTATGTGCCCTTCATTGTCATATTACCCATTGGCCCACAAGACAATAGCATCACACCCCTGCAATGCCACACATTTGAGAAAGTGAACCACAAGCAAACTTGAATTCATGCTTTGCGAGGGCATTTCCCGCCCGTCACTGAATTGAGTGAGATAAAGTACTAGTACATATTGTCACATCCGGTGGTTTTCCCCGTTTAGTGATCCATCAACGCCGGCTCCATCCTCCATAATCATTTCTGTCCAGCTGCCTCATCAAAGGTATCAAGTACAGTGTCCTTCAGATCCTTATCCTCGTTGCCCTCAGACTCTTGCGACTCGTGGTTGACGACCTGCTTCGCCATTGTCCTGGCCTGCGCCTCGCCAACCTTGCCGTAAACACTGAGACCGGTGGCAATCATGCCGCCGATGTCACCCACGTTGCCAGGAACAACAACAGCCGTGCTCTCCTTGGCCAACTTGGCAAAGGCGTCCACGTACTTCTCAGCGACGGACAAGCTTACGGCGCCCTTGGCCGCATCCTCGCCATCAGCAATGCTCTTTGCAATAGCATCGATACCAGCTGCCGTGGCCTTGGCCTTCATGAGGATGGCCTCGGCCTCACCGGACGCCCTGTTGATCTGCTCGGAGCGCATGGCCTCGGAAGCGAGAATCACACTCTGCTTCTTACCCTCGGCGATGTTGATAGCGGACTGGCGCTGACCTTCGGAGTCCAGAATCTCGGCTCGCTTCGATCGCTCAGCAGTGACCTGTCGGTGCATGGCTTCAACGACGCCAGCCGGTGCGTGGATGTCACGAATCTCGTATCGCAGACATGTGACGCCCCAAGCCTGAGCTGCCTCGTTAATGGCTTGGGTGATGTTGGTGTTGAGAGCTGCGCGCTCCTTGAGGACGTGGTCGAGGGTCAGTTGACCGATCTCGGATCGCATTGTGGTCTGCGCCAGCTGGGAGATGGCGTATTCGGCATCTTCGACCCCATAACTGCCAGACAGTCAGATCAGTAAGGGTGTCTCTGAAGAAAGGAGTCAAGACGTATGGGAAGTAGCGTACCTGGCCTTGTAGGCGTCAAAGACGCGCGTGTAGAGAACACCGTCCAGCTCAAGGGTGACGTTGTCGGCGGTGATGGCGCTTTGGCTGGGTATTTCGATGGCGATTTCCTTCAGTGACTTGACATAGGAAATGCGATCGATGAAGGGAACGAGAATAGCCAGACCGGGTTCGAGGATGCGGTTGAACTTTCCCATGCGCTCGACAATCCATGCCGTCTGCTGAGGGACGAAGCGGATGACGGTGTTTGCGGGGAGGGAAGGCTTCTGGAAGTAGGATGGAGGAATGCTGGAACCGATGCCGAAGCTCGAGGGGAGCAGACTCTTGGTGCTCGTCTGAAAGCTGCGCGACTGCGCGAATGCCCGCCGCAGAGGCGGGGAGAGGACCGCCTTGGTTACCGCCGAAGCCATCTTTGCTGCTGCAGCATTGGCCTAAGGTCGAATTGGACTGCGTGGATCACAAATGGAGGTTGCAAGCTCCGGGGGGCCAGCTCTCTCATCAGCTAAGGTAAGCACCGTGGGTCGTGGGTCGGTGGTCGGCGCTGCGGAAACAAGACGAAAAAAAAAAAGAAAAAAAAAAAGGACCACCGCGTTCCATTGATGACGGAGGCGGCAGCTGCCTGCCGACATTTAGCCGGCGGAAGGGGCCGAGGCCCGCCAGAGAGGTGGGTGTGATGCTCCCGTCCATGCAAACGCTCAAGTGCGAGCGATTCAGGACGTGATTCAAGGAATGGCTTCCCGGAATGAAGTATGCAACCTTCTGCTACGCCAATGCACAGGGAATATGCCACGACAGTACCAGAAGGATGGGTTAGTTTCTTCGTCAACTATGGCAGCCTGCTCCAATGCATGGATTTACACTTGCAGCAGAATTCGCTGCCAGACGTACATGCTTCGATAAGTCTACATAGTTCCATCACTCTCACACCGCATGTAATAAGGTAGCCTGCCTGACCGACCAGGTGTGAAAGGCGTTAAGCAACGAGGGTTCCAGTACAAGCGCCAGACGGGCGGTAAAGGACCAATGACAAGTGGCGCCTTGCATCAACGCAAGTCAGGCCATGCGAATTTCAGGGCGATTTCACTTGGGATGAAAACACAGGGTAGATATGGCAAGATGGTAAAGGCACGTGTGTCCGGTCCTTCAGCCCCTAAACTTACCTGGAATTCACCGGCACGTTCATATCAGTACGGCAGTAACACCTCGTCTGCCGTTGCTCTCTAAGCAAAACAAATCGAAAGCAAGGATTGAGTCTTGAGGAAAAAGTCGTCATCATTGAGCCATACTACCCATGCCATGTGTATCGAGAATCAGCCTACCCAGCCCATCCGTACCTTCTTTCGCGCACTCCAGAAATCATGAAATCGGGCTACTGGTATACGGAGCCTTCGGGAGGCTGAGGGATCTTCTTGTTGGCAGGAGCAGCCATGTATCTGGAACTGTGTCAGTAATGCCTTGGAGATTTCCACACCCTGTGTGCAGACGCACCTTCTGAGCTCGATCAGGATGGTCTCCATAGTGTTGTCTCTCTTCCAGCCGGCAAGGCAAGGCAACTGCTTGGGGTCGACGACGCCATTGCGAGGGTTCACGCAAGGCAGGTTGACCTGGCTAACAAACTGTATCGTGGGAGGCTCATCGGGGTAGTTGGGACCGCAATGCATCTTGAGGGAGTAGATTCGGTTCTCGTGGACGCTCTATCCAAGGACTGTCAGTCGCTGTCTTGTTTGCGATGGGGTTTCAAGGGTGTACTAACGTGAGGGGGTCCCAGAATGGTGCCGTTCCAGTCGGACATGAGAAGATCCTCGGCATCATTGAGACCGTAGGAGCAAGCCTCTGCAAGTTGGGGGGTCAGTCAGAATGCGCGGGGCAACTGGGAACGATCACATGGATTGCAAGTACCTGCTCCGAGACCCTTCTCGCCCTTCTCGAGCTCCTCGAGGAGTCTAAAGTTGCGCGGGACCTTTGCGCCCATGATTGCTGGTGTACAGATGTCGTGGGGAGGACGGTTGGTGTAGGATGAAAAAGAACGTAGAGTACGATGGCCTTGATGGAGGGGTTACAAAGTGGGAGGGAGACACTGGACCCGACATGCACTGGATGGAGCGAGCGTGAGAGAGGCCCGGCCTTACCTAACTGTCGGGTAGGTAGACCCGCAAGCGGTGTCTGGCTGTCGTATTCACACTGGACCTTCTTAGCGGCCTAGTTGAGAGACACAGCAGCGCCTGTACCTGAAGGGCACCAATGCTGCTGGCAAACAGCGCCTGAGGTCAGCTTACCTTAGTTGCCGGACGCACGCGCCAACGCGGGGCACTGGCAAGGCGGTGAGCGTCGTGCCGTTTCTGCCAAGGCGTCCGCGTGAGAAGAATGGGTACCTTCAATGCGGGTTGGCGGCCTTAGTCATCATTCAAGGTGGACAGCTCACCTCAATCGGGAGCTCTGGATGGACACCGAACATCGCAGTGAGATAGCTCCCTTGGCCTTTTCAGGAGAGGTTGCAAGCTCTCTTTCCTCAACACTTCATTGAACAACAGACAGATTGTCATTTCCAGACTCGCCCGTCGTTCAAGTCTCATTTGGCGCATCCTCTCGATAATGGACTGCCCCTGGGGCCACTCGTGACAGAATGACGACCCAGCTCCTAGCTACGGAGCTAACGAACCTCATCCAAGAAAGCAAACGGAAGCACAATGACCTCCGACAAGTACATAACCCCGAACAAAACATCTTCGATGTGCCATGCTGATTTGTAGCTATAAGGCTGCTGAAAAGTCACTCGATGAGTTGAAAAGCCTCAAGGGAGCCAACGAAGCTCAAGCTGCCAACGGTACTTTTCGCTGCCCTACGCGCGGCTTATGATTGTCCGTCGTGGCTGACCTTTGCCCACAGAACTCGCGCAGCGCCCCAACTTTGTTAATCCATTCATAATTGCATGCGGCACCAAAAATGCAAAGTTCACCGGAATCGCCATTGTCTGTCTCCAGAGGCTCATCGTCGCCCGCGCGCTTCCTAGGGGGAAGTTGAACCAGGTCCTCGAAGCCTTGAGAGAGGCCACCTCTGCCGGTCTCGATGTTCAACTCAAAATCCTGCAGGCTCTGCCTTCTCTCTTGCAAAACTATGCCACCGACCTCAAGGGCGACCTTCTCATCACTGCCTTGAACATTTGCTTCATTCTGCAGACCAGCAAGAATGCCATCGTCAACAACACATCGGCTGCCACCCTCCAGCAGTTGGTCGTCTCTGTTTTCGACAAGGTGGTTACCGAAGATAAAGCTGCGACTCCAGGAAGTCCCGCCGGAGAGGCCCCGACTGGCGATGGCGCGGTTGAGCTACGCGCAGCCGCCTTGGATGCCTACAGGGTAGGTTATTTGCTTCCACGACAACAGTTGGTCTTGCTGATCACCTCATAGATATTCAACGACCTCTGTCTCATGACTGAAAACCAACGTCCGGAGTACTTGAGATTCTCCGGCCTTCCTCAGACGTTTGGTCTAGAGCTGATAGAGTCGGTCCTAACCAACCACGCCGCAGTCTTTTCAACCCACAAAGAGCAGGCACACATCCTCCAGATCCGCGTAATGCCCTTCATTATCAGCGCTCTTAAAGGCAGACCAAATTTTGCCACATCTGTCCGCCTTGTTCGGATTCTTTACACACTATTGCGAAGACATATCAACATTCTCCCGGCAGCCAGTGGCGACGCCTTGGACATTTTGACGCATCTACTCGACCAGGACACCGCCGTGTGGAAGCGGGCCCTCTGCCTAGAGGTCTTTAGGGGCATTTTCGCCGAACACGCCCTTATCAGACGGATCTTTGTCAACTACGATGCCAAGGAAGGCGAGAAAAACATTGTCAAACACTTGACAGCGACGTTTGTGAGGCTCAGCACCGAAAAGCCATCTGTTATTGGATTGGGTCACCAGTCAACCATACCTGTGGCGAACCCCTATGCTAGCATCGCATCATCGACCGACCAGGCCATGTTGGAAGCCAGTGGCGTCACTGGTATCATCAGCGGATCTGTTGGTTCGGATGGTTCTAATATCGGAATCAGCACGCAGTGGAGCAATGTCAGAGTTCCGTGCATTGACCAACTGGACAAGACCGAGGCACCGTCTATCCCAGAGTCCTACATCTACAGTCTAACATTGTCCTGCATCTCATCGCTTTCTGAGGGCCTCGCAAAGTTCATTCTTCCCCTGACAGTACCCGGAGAAAGCCGAAGCCGCAAGAGAGGTGGAAAGCAGGAAGCAGGGCGCGACTCCCCAGCACCGCCACAGGAGGATGCTGAAGGCCAACGCGGTGCATTGGAACGATCAGCCTCCTTCAAGAAGAACCCGGTTCCAATCAACCCACTTGTCTTGGAAGATCACCCGTTGCACAATGAGGTGAAGATCTGTGCGGCCATCATTGATGAATGCTGGCCAGCGATTCTTGCCACTTGCTCAACCTTCCTCTACGCTGCCATGGACTCCGAGTACTACCACAGTCTCGTCAGAGCGTTCCAGAAGTTCGCTCATGTAGCCGGACTGCTTCAGCTGTCGACTCCGAGAGATGCTTTTTTGACAACGCTTGGAAAGGCCGCCGTCCCTCCAAACGTCTTCACAGCATGCCTCAATGCCGGGACAGCTCGACCAACAACACCCACGCCAACTAACGAAGCTCCTAGCAGCATTTTCAGTAATGCTCGAGGGCTGCTTAGCGTTGACAGCTTAGCGACGCAGTCCACGCCGATCACCGAAAAAGGACGGCAGCAAAGCGTCGATGGAAGCCAGATGACCCTTAACACTCGAAACCTCCTTTGCTTGAGAGCCCTCTTGAACCTCGGAATCGCCCTCGGTCCGACCCTGGGCCCATCCTGGCGCATCATACTCGAGACCTTGCAGCAAGCTGATTTCGTTCTCTTTTCCACGAGTAAGACTCCTGGACGAACGCCTCTCGCCACGAAAGGGACAGATCATCAGGCAGAGGGCGAAGCAAGCGCTCTGTTGTCGAACTTTGCCTCTGAAGTAAGAGCTGTGGAAACAGCTGCCTCGAGACTAATTGAAAGCACGATTGACTTCCCAAATGATGCTTTTGGAGAGGTCGTGACGGCGATATGTAACCTCCTCGAGAGAGCAAACGAAGAGAAGCAAAAGGCCGAGACCGCAAGTCAGCCACAGTCTCCGCAGTCCGGCAGTATAAAACCCCCGGGCCAACATCGCCGAGTGCTCAGCGTTTCTACGACTGCCGCCGCCGGACCAAACCAAGAAGACCACTTCGCCCTCGCCAAGCTAGGTGATATTGCCACAATCAACATTGACCGTCTCCTATCGTACCCACCTGATGTGTCAGGTTGGACGCCGCTAACATCCGAGCTCATCCACATTCTTAACGCGTCTGCAATGAATGCCTCCGTAAGACTGCGCGC